GATGACTTGCTCGAAAGCGTCTTCTGTCAGCCTTGAACAAGAGAAGACATCTCCAGTTTGCAAATGAGCATGTAGTCTGATAAATCACGTGTTCCATTACACCATGCAGATGGCAGGGTTCGTTCATGGTGTAAGCAAGGACCCCAACTACATTGCCACAACACTTCAAGCTGAAGGCTATTTTTTGGTTTGGGGGATGTTTTCCTTGGCATTTCATGGATCTTTTGAATCCTGTGGAACAACGCCTAAATGCCCAAGGGTATTTAAGTGCTATCGCAGATCAAGTACATCCTGTTATGTTAACGGTGTACCCTGCCGGGGATAGATACTTTCAGCAATACAATGCTCCTTTATCATGCAGCTCACATTGTCGTCAGATGATTCGAAGAACATGACGGTGCTTTTACTTTGTTTCATTGGCCCACACAATCCCCAGATCTCAATCCAATGATGAGATGGAATAAGATCGAAAAGGGCATCAGACAGCTGGATCCAGTGCCATCCTATCTGGTGGAACTGATAAGTGCAGTTCATCAGATAGGGGGTCAAATTCCTCCTACCACCTACTAACATCACACGGAATCTATGCCAAGAAGATTTCGAGCAATATAACGGGCTAAATGTGGTTCAACAGGGAATTGAGGAGGCTGTCATTATAATTTAGTCTCTCAGTGTATTTCGAGCTACAGCCAGTTAAGCTGCGGTTCGTATAATGGTATTGGAAAAAAGTACCTAAAGAAATCGTTCTCAAAAGATGCAAAACTAAAAAAGGAACATCCTTAAAGTTTAAAATCTTGTGATCGGAATTTCACATTCTTGGAAGCAATATCAAATAAAAATGCAATCTATCTTTTTTTTATACAGACGAGATTTTAAGTTACGAAATCGCATACAAAATTATACTTTCTCAAAATAAACATAATTTTTTCCCCTACGATTATGGACCCTGGACTTCGAAAAGAAAAATTTAAAACTACTATTTTAAATTTCTGCCCTTATTTATTCAACTGATTTCGCTCAAACTTTGAATTTGATAATTTAAAATGGAATAGCGAAAAACTTACCTAAAATTGTAAACCTCATAATAAATAGGTCCTGACCTTTATTAAAAACTATAAACAATACAAAAACCAGTTTAAAAATTATTCTTAGCACTTACCCTTTTCAAAAGTATTTATGAATCAACCGGTTTCACAATTGTGTGCTGAATTCGTTTGCATCACTTAAATAATTTTTAAGATAAGGAAAATTACTTAAAATACTAAATTAGCATTAGTAAGCCCAAACTTTGGATCGCTTTCCTGCCTATGTTATTGGGATAATATTTTCTAGATTGTTACTCGCTCTTCAGTATTTTGAAAGTCAGGAGTTCCAAATCTATCGAAAAAAGGCTTGCTATTCTAGGAAAGCATGTTTTTGTGCCTAATTTCATCTTAATTTTAAATATCATCAGCACTATTTGATTACCAAGCATAAGTTTACATTTTTAAGATAACGTCTCAGCACGAGAAATTCCAATTACTAGATGAATAATTTTTAAAGTATTCTATTTTCTTACTTTGCGCATTTCTTTAAGATATCATATTGTACAAAATATCTAGTACACTATAAATTGATTAGTAAAATAATTATTGATTAATAAAATAATTATTGATTAACAAAATAATTATTAACTAATAAAGTAACTATTAAGTGAATTAATATTATTTAATTAATGTAATGCTAATTAATTCTCAAACAGTTAAGTTTTGTGTATTCAGTCGGAGGTTTGAACAGCATTTTATTATCCGTATAAAACTTTTTGAACTCTCTGTTTTTCAATATTCTTTAAATATTGTCGTTAAATATTTATATTTTATAACACATTTCTTACAGTTAGTTCAAAAATGCTTTTTTCTTGTGTATTATAATCGGTTTCGAAGCATTTATTTAGTTTAAGTTATAAAGTTGCCAATTTATACTGCTTTTCAAAAGAGGCTTCAGAAGTGTCGATAGTTGTAATCTAAACCAGTCGAACATTTTCCTATGTCTCCAACTCCAAGGTCACCCATCTATGGAACATACGATTTTACGCTTTCAGATAAATCTGACAATGGTGGTTATCACGCATATAGAAACAGTTGTTCTTTCTTATCAATGTATGCATCTTTTCTCACAAGCGATTTAAATGTGCTTTTTTACTCCCTTTATGCTTCTAATATTAAAAATAAATTCTAATTAAATTCCCTTAATTTTAATTTATATTTTCTTTTTATCGATTATGAAAATATGAGACCCCATTCCTTGGATGTCGCTTTCCAAATAATCGCGTTGAATTTTGAGAATGTTATTTAGACTGAAAATAAATTGAATATCAATCAATGTGGTTACAAGTTCCACAAGAGCGATTAATCTCATGACATAATTTTATTTTGCATTTTTATATATGGTGGTTAGCTGGCCTACATTTCTGCCGTTTTGTAGTTTCGAATTTTATATTTCGACTGTAGAAAATTATTTTAAATAAAAAAAAATCATGTTGAATGTGAAGAAAAAGAGACGCATTTTAACGGATAGTAAGGGTTTTATGAAATAATGCAAGTTGCAATTTCTTCTAATAATAAGCAGTATTCTTAGCCAGTTTCAAAACACTTAACTGTACTGAAAATACTAGAAAAAAATGGTAATAAGCGAAGGACATTAAAGTTCTTTTAAAAACATAAAAGGAAATATACATATAAGTCTGCATATCTACAATGAGTATTAATGCTCAGAAAATGTATGTTACATGCAATGAGTATTATTTCTCAGAAAATGTATGTTATATGCAATTATTATAAAATTTTAATGTTCTATTGAATATTTATTAAGAAATGTTTAAACTGACAATGTGAGCTATTATTGAAATAAACAAATTTTTTCTGTCCTAGCGAGTTCATACTAACGAGGTTTAAATGTAAGAATTAAATTTTTATTCAAGAATGTCGATTCAATTAGTACACATTTTAGAGAAAAGGTGTAACTCAGCATTGGATATTTTTAAATGAGATTCCTTGAAAAAATTCATGTTTCTAGAAAAAAAAATATTTAAATGAATTGTCAATATCTCTTTTTTAGGACCATCACACGCCAATCTCAACTTTTCTTGGCATTTTGATTTTTTTTAATAAAAATATATTTCGGATGATTAAAAATTGTTAGATTTCCACTTGAATATTAATTTTCTACAGCGTGCTTTAATAGACAAGTAACCATTATAGTAACATTTGTAATATTTATTATAAAATACAGTAAAAATATATACGTGAAGTTTGTCTCTTCCTGGATTTGTCTTTTACTTAATTTGAGATAGTTAAATTTCTTGAAAGCAATATCTTATATTTCTTGTTAAATTACATAAATACATAATTTGTTATAAAAAGAGTAGAAATTATAAAAAGTAATACGTTTAAATATATTAAATATAAAGGCGCATAAAAACAATGTTCTAATACAATGTTTCTAATACAATTTACTAATACAAAAACACCTTTTTAATCATAATTACATAAGAATTCTTTTGTTAATTAAAGCAGAAAATTGATTATATCATTCTATTTTAAAGATTATTAAACAGAACTTTATAAAATGAGAAGTCTTTTTATAGTTTAAGTTTTTTATTTAAAAGTTTGAACTATAATACCATTAAAATTTGATTAAAAAATGTAAATAATTTATAATGTTTTTTCTCTTCGAAGACACGAAAGACTCAAAAAACAAGAATTCTAATAAGAAATTATAAGTGAAACACTTCATCAGATAATTCAAATTGATTTGATTGTTTTATTTAGGTTTCATAATTATTTAAAATGTAAGACTTAAATTCAACTGTTGCAGTTTTAATTTTGTTAAAATGTTAAATGCCATTAAGGTATGCTTATAAATATTGATTTAAAAAAAAGTTTCAATTTTTTTAATAATCATTTATCTGTGTTTTTTTAATAATCATATATCTGTTTAATAATCATATATTTTAATACATAACTACACTGGCATTAATAATTGATACAATTCATTATAAACTACACTTTTCGTACAAAAATTGGATATTTTATCTAACTTTTTTTTTAAACGAACGATCAATACTTTTGATTATAATCAAACATTCTTATCAAAATACCTAGGACATAATTTTATGAAAAAAAAGTTATGCCTCAAAATTGCTAAATACAATCTGAAACACATCTTTTTTATAAAAAGTATACTGCATGTCACAAGGGAAGGAAAGGAATGAAAAACATTTATGAAAGAAAGAGAATGGTTTAAAAATATGACTACGCTAAAAATAGAATACTCATTTGCTCTACGTTGCATTATGATAATATTTTTCCCATATATCGTAATCAAAATTTAGCCCAATTTTTCATTCTCTATCAAATGCATTATATTCAATAAAAAGTAATAAAATCAATAAAAAATAATAAAATCAAGAAAAACAATAAATTATAATATACTTAAAAACAATAAATTATAATAAACTTAAAAACAATACATTACAATCAACTAAAACAATAAATTTCAATAAACTAAAAACGATATTCAGACATTTTTTTAGCCTCTTCTTATTAACTCATTTCTTTTGAAGTTAGTAATTTCTCGCCTCGCTTAAAATTTAAAACCGTTTCATCGAAGAAGCGATTTCAAAAGTTATGAATTTCCTAACTCTTCACTGAATAAGTTTCACAGAAAATGAGAATTGACATTGAACGATCAGAGACTTATCTTTAATGAAACAACTTTAATTAAAAGATAAAATCGTCTGCCAAATAAAACGAACTCAAACGAGACAAATTTTTCGACTCATCACTCACAAGTCTCGAAGGAGACAAAAACTGACATTGCCGATCAGAATTAGCATATCATAGATTGGCAACGCACGAAATCGTCTGCGTGAGTGAATGGGGAGAGAAATAGAAGAGTAAATGAGTTGTCATAAATAAAGGAAGGATGAACTGGGAGAAGGTTGGACTGATATTTCTCACCTACCTCCTCGTTGGCGAGTGTTGAGTGTGGTGAGATGGGCCGGCAGAAAGAGTTCCCGGACGTCCGGCCGCGCTTGGCAGGATTGAGAGGCCGTTGCGTTGTGACGTCGGATCTAGCACCGTTTCTTCCTTCGGTACCGATCGGCTAGCGAGCGGCTATTCCTGCGCCTGCGTTCTCCGGACAATCCCGGCACTTAGGGTTGCTAATTCCACACTTTTTCGTTTTTCGTCGTCAAAGACATTCATTATGGAGGCCGGATAGAATTTTTTACAATAGGACACGTGTCAGCACTTAAAGAATGTCGCGAAAAAAGTGTTTATTGTTCTAAATGGGTGAAAAAAATTAACTCGAGTAGAACATAAATGATTCAGACTTTGAAATGAATGAGCTCTTTTAAAGAACAATGACATTTTTTAAATTCTATTTAAGACACAAATAAAGAGTAATTTTTAGCATCACCAAAGATGAAGGGAAGCAAGGGCATTTTCGCATTACGCATCTTTCACCAGTAAATAGATATATTTCTTCATATTTAATTCATAATAATATTTTTCAATAAAACTTGAACAAATTTAAAATGCATATAAATTCTTTTTTTAAAGAGATTTTAAAATACCATGTGCACAAAGCGACTAGAAATCAAATATTTCAAATTCAATTTCTCTGGGATTATTTGACCAAGTTTGTTTAAATTTTGCTACTGAAATGTTGCAAAAAATTGTTTGCCTTTCAATTTTAATATTTTTTCGTCTATTCTGAAATAAAATAATAAAAATTGCAAATAATTATAAAAACTTTATTTTTTGCATGGAATTATCTTTGGATAGACGGATTGTATAAAAACGGTGCAAAAACGTTTCGATTCACTTATAAAGTTCTCGAGATATGGCGAAATATGCAAAAAAATATAACAATAAAGAGCCTGAATTTTAGAGCTGCTTAATTATACTCTGATCAATCATACTCTGTTCAATAGTATGATTTATATTAGCGCTGCTAGTTCAGTAAATATAACACTTCAGTACAATATTCTTTAAATATATTTTCAACAAAATTTTACTACGAATTTATTGTGTGCATTTATACACTTTAATGTCAGCATTTTTTGAAAAAAAAATAGTTTAAGAGGGTTTTTAAAATTGCAGTTTTAAATGCAAACAAATGTTATTAATAGTAATTCATTAGAACAAATTGTTGTTTTTTTAAGCGTTTTAGAAGACGATTATGTTTTGATTCCAATAAACTGCTTAAAAATTTATCCTAATACACAAAATAAAAATTTTCTTTTTTGACTATGTTTTCTTTTTGTATTTAATAACATCCAAGCAAAATAAAAGAGAATTTTGTGAACATCACCCTTTATAATACATTTATAACTGTTATTAAAGTGGCAGCTTTTGAATATTTTAAGACATTTAGAACGTGTTATACCTTTGAAATTTTGAACATGAATAATTTGATTTTATTTATGAATCGTGATGATACTCATGATCTTAATGAATGGATAACTATTACATTATATGATTAGCGGTTTACGACAACTCCATTTTTTCCTTTGATTTTTTTGTATCATAATGCATAAAGTAATTGTTAAAACTATGCATGCTTGTTAAAATTACAGTTGTGCACTCTCAGCTCTAACTTTTGTAGCTTTAGTAATCCTTGAGCAATATTTCGTTAATTTTGAGAATAACGTCGTCTCAAAATCTCGTGATTTGTGACGAAACGCAAATTCTCAAATGCGTGACAAAGATGTTTACTTAACTCGAAACTTCAGCGTAGTGCATTGTCGGATATTGTCATGTAGAATGACGAAACTACAGTAAAGACTAGACAATCTAAAATTAAGTGACTAATTTAACTGGCAAGTAAAGTGCTCAAGGAGATGGTCTCGCATATGGAAGGTTCTGGTTTCGAATCCCGTTTGGGGCACGGCTGTAATTTATCTCTCTATCTATCTGTCTTCGTTGCCTCATCTATATTGTGTCTGCGTTAAAGTAATTATTAGAAAAGCTGATTTATAAAGTGCTTACATTCTTTTGGGAAGTAAATAGGACGATGAAATATTTCCTTCCTTCTGAAGAAATTCGTTTCTTTGAAAAAGTGACGATTGTTATTTCGTCACTTTGACAAAATTTTTGTTGGAGCCTATACCAAGCAACTATTTCGTCAAAAGCAAAAAAAAAAATCGTAATATTTGAGTATCGATTTTTTACACAGTGTTATAGAATCAGTTTTAAAAGCATGAACGAAAGCCACCTAAAACGATACATTTTTATAGTTTGCTGGAGTTTCATTTTTGTTTGAATTGCGTTTAAAAATATTTAGTTAAGAATTTTAAAGACATTTTGAAAGGCATAAATTGATTTTAAATTATTGGTTATAAAAATGAAAAGGGGAAAATCTCAGCATTTAGCAAGAATAGTGCTATTTATTTTTGTTCTGATCTTGAGATTTTAATGAAAAATTATTTAAATTACTTCACTGATAAAAAAAAAGCCTAGTCAAAGCTACCAGAATAAGGTATAATATTCCGTATTTCCTGCTCTATTTGAACACCAAAAATCTCAGTAATTTTTACAGGAAGAGCTTTGACAATAATTTTGGTATGCAATTAACTATACAATAATGTTATAATGTGAGATAAGACTTGGTTAATGTGACAAAATTTAGTAATTTTATCAGGGCACCTTAAAGCAGGGCTTAATAATTTATTCTGTTAAATTTATATTTCAAGTTTGTATATTCTATTAAACTGCGTGATGAACTTTAATTTTGAAAGCCAGAATTCATGGTAAACCGTTACCATGTGAACAAAGAGATTTCCAAATGAATCGTTATAAATCACATAGGTTTTGGTTTTATTACAGGAATTATTTTTTACCGGAATTATATTGTTTTTACCCGAAATATTATTACCACACAGTAGTGTAATTTTATCAGAATTTTTTAGTCTCTGTTAATTTTAATCAATTTGATTTGATCTTAAGGACATAATTTTTTTTTTCATTGAAGAGTTGATTAAGTAAAGAACATTACAGGTTTCATCTTTGCCACTATGGGAGAAAGAAGGGGATAAAATCAGGACCCGTCACTTTTGATTAAACTGCGACTATTATCGACCCGAAAATCACATGAAACTAGTGGCAGATACACACCCTGTTGTTTTGTAGAAGGACATAGTAGTACATTACAGAGTAGGCTGTAGGAATGACGTAAGAGCTTTTAAATGCTAAGTAGTTATGACGCCAGTACTTCGAAAAAAAATATTTGAAAAATTTTAATTCATATTACACTGGTTCTGCTCCATAGCTTTCAATTCCATTAAGATTTTTTTGTTTAAGTTCATCATGTAAAAACATTTTTAGTTATTATTTTGAAACATTAAAAAATGTTTTGGATCAACGTATAAATATAAAAAGTCTTCTTTTCTGTCAAACTGGAACATTGTCAGTTGAGCATGATCAGATAACTGTACTAAACAATACAAGGTCTATAAAAAATTGGATAAATTATTTTATCAATAAAGAATGGTTTGCACTGCAAAAGATTATTTCTGAATGGATCAAAATCAACATGATGATTAAAATGGTTTAATATTACGATGATTTAAAATATATTAAATTCAAAATTACTACATTTTTAGATTTTTAATCCACTGGAAATTTAGCATATTAATAGAACATTTTTTATTAATTTGTTGCTTTGAATTAATATTTTAGTAAGAAAAAAATGCATTTTCTTAAAAAAGGTGAATTCTATCGTATAAACCTTTTATCAAATGAAGTAGGATAACATCTTGGTTTAGCAAACTTTCTAAAATTAATTAATTTACTCTTCAAATAAGATTTTTACTGAACATTTACTGATGTAATATATGAATTATTTTGATATGAATACTTTTTGTTACTTGTAGTTTAGTTTTGTTTATTTTTAAATATCTCAATGAGAAAAATTTCCTGAAATAAATATATTTTGAGTTGAGTATAATATTAACTTAGATGCGAAAAAAGGGAGAAAAAAATTCTAACACATTGAGGAATAAAACTAAATAAAAAAGAAACAAATATAGTGAAAGGTTTCTCTCGGTTTCATAAACTGTTAGAATTTTCGTTCTAAAATTACGGTAAAATAAAAGGCAGTAGTCTATCTAACCAATTTACCATAAAGTTTATGGTAAAGAGGATTTTTTACCTATACGTTTTTAAAACTGTTTACAACTAGTATAGTTAGAAATCACGAATACAAAATTATACGATTTTTTAAACATTTAATACTATCTTGGTTTCAAAACCGTAAAAAAATATTTTTAACTGGTTAATGGAGATTTAGAAGATTTATGATGTTGCCATCGATGCATGAATGAGAGTATCGTATTCTAATAGCCCAGAATCATAAATTGGGGAGTGCTGGATACTGGAAACTCTTCATGAGCAAGAGGGATTGGAGGAAATATTGTGGTGTCAACGGTGGGAATCGAACCCCTGTTCCGTCGATCATAAGATTAACGGATCAGCCATTTCAACCTATCTGAAAGGTACAGATTATAGCTACTAAGCGGCTTCATTAGGTGGGTCAGGTTGGTGAGATAAAATTTTGGTTGTTTAATGTATTAGGTGATGACATGACATGAAGATGCTGAACATATTCTTCTTCACTGTAGTCTCCATGCGAGTGCCCGAATGAATTTAAAGACTGATTTGAGACGTCTTTCAATTTGTTGGCCACCTGTCTTATCAGAACTGGTCAAAAGTATTGAAAGTCTTGCGGCCTTGCGGAATTTTGTTTTTAGTGTAAATTTGTAAATTTTTCTCCTTTTGTTTTTTACTTACAACTGTAAGCCTCATGCTATACTTTGTGGTGCATGAGGAGTTTTAAGTCGTTTAAATTTAAAAAAAAAAAAAAATGTATTAGGTGAAAGCGGATAATAACGGTTTATCTCACTTTTTTGTTTTAATATGGTAACGTAAGAGTTAATAAATTGCCATTTAACCATTTTTTCTAACCATGTGTTATCAGAGACACTTTATGTAAATATTTTAAACTTCATTGAAATTAAAATTTAACACACACCACTCATATTTATTAGCTTATCTATTCCGCACTGTTCCAGGCATTTCCTATACAATTTTTAAATATTATTACAAATACCACAATTCAAACCCCAAACATAGTAAATAACATTTTGAAAATATCTGCAAGTACAAAATATCGAATTTTACATAAAATGTTTGATATGCACAGATAAATCCACAACAACAAAGTAAAATATATCTAACGTTATATAGTGACGTAAATATTTTTCTTCCTCGTTATATTGGCTAAGAAGTCACTTTATCCTGGATCGCCAACCATTTCCTTAACAGATAATGAGTTTACTTTTGCCCCTCTTTTATTTGCCTTCCAGCTTTTTTTTCTTCTTCTTCTTATCCTCATCATCTTCTACTTGATGCAATCTATTAAAAGTGAAGCATTATATATATTGTAATGATCAGAAATAGATTTCATTTGAATTATACAATAATCTGTTATTGCTTTTAAAAAATTAAAAGAAAAAAGTTCATTATTATTTGAATGTAACACAAAATTATGAATTTTAAAACAATAAAATAACATAGTAAGTTACTTGAAAACAACTAGCTAGAATTTTAAAAAATTGCATTTAAATAATATAAAATAATTTATGCTATAAAAAACAAGAACTTATGAGCTTTTTAATGCTTAGGAAATAATGAAAGAAATGTAAAATCTAAATGAATTTATAATGGCTGAAAACGCCTTTACAGCATATAAAATAACTAATATTATAAAAATCAAAAGCTTATTATAAAGGTTTATACAATATTATAATATATATTTATATTTAGTTACTTCATTTAATTGTTATATTGATTGTCTTTCAAGTAATTGCATAAAAATATCTTCTTAATGCTAATTGACAGAAAAAAGGTCCATTTGGTTTAATATTTTTCCAAGCTTTTTTGGGGGTTGGCAATTAGAGTGATTTTGTCTTTTTTCAACACTTCCTTTTTGTTTCACTTGTGTAACAGTTCGAATTCTTTAAGTAATCGAGCTATTTAATTATTGTTTCTGTGAAATTAGCCAATTAAATATTTTTTATCTCACTAATGTCTTTTTTGGCAATGTTTCAACACACGAGTTCATTTTGAGGAAATTAGTCTTCAAAAATTGAAGTTAGTTTTTTTATTTTTTTTTATTAAGATTTAGCAGTATAAAAAATCTCTGATTATTCTGCAATTTAATGAAGTGCACGAGAAGTAGTTTAGCTCTAAAGTAAAAATAATCTTATAATTTTTAATGAGAATTTGCATTTATATTTCATGCTAAAATGCTGCAAAACCAACTAATAATAACTTTGTTTTCAATATGAGTAAAGGAAAGTACTTTATGAATTTTAAATAATAAAACTATTTAATAATATTCGAAACATTTCGTCAAAAAACAGAGTTTTAAATTAAAATTCATCTAGTAGACGGCATAACCCAATAGTAACTATTACATCAGAAAACATAAGTACATTGTTAAGCAAAACAATTTATTTCTATGAAAGAAGTAAATAAAAAAAATTTTTGTTTATAAAACTGAATTTATATAAAGTAAATATCATTAATATGAACGCGAGTTTTCCGAATCTTTTGGAGTTGATAATAAATCAAAAAATATACTTATATTTAGTTTTATGGTTAAGTACGAAATACACGAAATTGTTTTAAATTGCTAGATATGTACTCAAAACTACGATCTCAAAGTTCTTAACTACAATCGAAGTAAACAATATTTATTCAGTTATTAAATTTTAAGCAAAGATTTTGTTTTCAGAAGCGACCACCTTGCATTATCGAGATATTAAATTTTCCTTATTGAATCTCAAACTGTTTGATATGATCTATTAGAATTGGGAATTGTAATTTTTCTATCTGAATATCAAAAGAAAAAAAAGTATAAATCTTTCTAAACATTTTAACGCAATACTAAGTTTCTCATATAGCGTCGATTAAAAACAATAATATATTTTTCTGGATTTTATTACTTACTGGATTTTAATTTTTATTTCTCAATATAGGAAGTACTTAATTTACTTTCTTTATTAAATTTCATGCTTCAAATTAGCCGCATTCGGTAAAATGATGAAAAGAAAGTGGCACGAACTATTTCCTTCATATAATTAGTATTTCCTTTATAAGAATTAGAAATGTATTGTTACACTCTAGAACCAAAATAGCATGAAAGCCTTTCATATTTCTAAGGTTACAGCGATCAGTTTATATAATTTTCTAATGGTTTTTGCCAAATATTTTTTATCGGTAAATTCGGCAGTTTGAGATTTTGAGTTTTAGTTACTAATCATAGTTAGCACAACCTTTCATTTCATTATAAGAAGTTTAAAAGAAATATAGATGTGGAAGATGATTCATTCGTTTTGAAAAGTACTAAAGCGATAAAACATAGCAGTTGCTATAAACTTAGCTATACAAAAAGGATAAAAAGAAAAAAGAGAAAAACGAAGTAAATTAATAAGTTTCTTATTCTAAGCATAAGCTGTAAGCATATAGAACTCACATATCGAACATATCGAACTTATTTTATAAGTTCGAAATATAGAAAAAAGCATGGAAAAAACTGCAGAATAATAAAAAGAGAAGAATAAAAATTATTAAAATAAAATAAAATAAAATAAACTTAACATAATAAAAAAATACCAATAAAAAACCGGAAGAAAACAATATAATCTCTTCATTAACTATTAATGATTAGAGAAGAATAAAAATTACTAAAATAAAATAATTAAAAAATGTTCAAAAAGCCGAAAAAACAAAAACAAAAAAATGAAAAGATATAATCTCTTCATCAACTCACACGAGGCAAAAAAGAGTGCTTTCTTATATTGTATCAATATAGCAATGATAATATAAGCGTGATATACACCGAAGAGCCATTACATTATGACCATCCTGCTTATAACATGTAGGACCACCTTTAGCTCTCAAAACTGATATTACCCGCCGTGGCATTGATTCCACAAGGTGCTGATAGGTAGTCTGAGGTATCTGGTACCAAGCGCTCAGCAACTGGTTCTTCAATTCCCTCACACTGCGAGGGGGTAGCGTGGCAGCAAGAGTTTGTTTTTCCAAGTAGGACCACAAATGCTCTATTGGATTAAGGTCAGGTGAATTTGGGGGTCAAGACATGACTTGAAAGTCACTGGAATGCTCCTCGAACAAATCCATGACGATTCGACCCTTATGTCATGGTGCATTATCCTGTTGGTAAACACCAGCCACCGCAGGTAAAACTGTTGCCATGAATGGGTGACCTGGTCTGCAACTATGCTCAAGTAGCTTAGACACGTCAGGGATTGTTCTATGAGGATTATGGGTCCTAATGTGCCCCGCGAAAACATTGTTCCTGGGCGAGAAACCGTGAAAACCTGGTCGAGCCCATTGTTATGGATGGAGGGTGGTCATAATGTAACGGCTCTTCGGTGTATGCCAATAGTGTATGGAGCACTCAAAAAATTTTGTAATAAAATACAGCACAATAAGTAATAAATATCACGAAAAAAAACAGAAAATAAATTTTTAAGAAAAAACAGAACAAAATGAAAAACGGAAGTTATAAAGTGAGTAGCGAATTCAAATGAACTTACATGACAGGAAAATTTTTAATATATACTGTAGCAGTAAGAAAGCGCTATGAAACAAAATCGCTCGATTTACGCTTTTAGCTCAATTTGCGCTTCTGCTTTCATAGTTTATAATCTCCCAATCTTATTACGAAAATATTTTAAATCATTCCTGAATAAAATGTAAATAAAACACGAAAAAAGTATTTTTAAGGAGCAGAAGAAAAATTATTAAAATGATATAGCGTATCATTAGATATAAGCGTATTGACATATTTTGCTTTGGTTATATTAATATAATATTAAAAATCACCCTTTTTTGCGGATATAATCGTATCAGCTGAGCAAAAGTTTATATCCTTTTTTTATTTTATTTTTCGACTTCTTAATTTTTTAAAAAATTTTTTGAATATTTTTAAAAAACATTCTATTTATTAATGATTTTTTCCTCTTTTTAAAATTTTTTCTATGTTTTTTTTCTTCTTTTTAATTATTTTCTCAGTTCTGTTACTTGTAAGTTATGCGCAGTAAATAAAACTAATTCTTTTTCCTAATTTTCTTCGTCAATGTCTCTTTGCTTTTATCCTTTTTTCGTCTCTTTAATGTGTAATAATGGGCATACATAAGTAAATATTTTTTCAATATTTATGCCCAAAAAGAAAACAAAGAATGCTCAATACAGATTGCAGTCATTCTTCCACAAAATATATGTTTATTAAAATCAATACTGAAAGCGGGAAACAAAATTGTTACATATGTTTATGCAATAGATTGATAATATAATAAAGTTATCATATGGAGATTTCCAGTTCCAAAGAATTAATCGTTGTCAAAAATGATTGACGAGAAACAGGTATTTAATAAAAAATTTTGATAATATTAGATTGAGACAATAATTTATAAAAGTAAAAACATTTGGATTAACATTTGAACATGCCTTTTACCTAACATTTCATAGATGTATATAAAAAGTCTGTAAATGTAATGTGATGAGTAAAAGCATTTTCAGATGTATAAACATTTTTATTTAAGATAAATGTAGAAACTTCTTAATTAAAATTTTATTAGGGTGCTTAAAAAATAATAAATAGTTGCAAAAGTGTAATTTTTTTTTCTGATTTTAAACTTGATCTGAATTTTTTTATTATAAAGAATATAAAGAACATCTAGTGAGATGATAGAACAATTTGTTTGCATTATCTTCATTAACTTTTTTCCGATAAGCAAAAGGACGAAACTTGAAATGCATTTGTTTATATCATGAAGATATTAAATACTGCTGTTAAAAAATGACATTTACTTTTTGTCATATTTTAACTATTTATTTCTAACACCATCCGCTGGTTTTAACTTACGGTTAGTAATAGAGTAATCTATTTTGTTTTCATTTTTAAACTTTAACTAAAAAATGTAATCGCAAAAAAAGTGTTTACATATTTTAAATTTGAAAAACATTGAATTATTCAGGTTTAGTATCATGTCTGCAATTTAAAAATACTTTTTTTAGAGATTTTTGTCAGTCAAATGTATTACAATTTTGTTTTAAAATAAGTTGGATAAAAATTCCTGTATTACTGGGCTATATTCCAATCATGTTTGGTACTATTGTTTAAAAAGCTTTATAGAGTGCATTTTCGTTTAATTTGTCTACGATTGGTTCTGTTTGTTGTAAAATATTTTCTTATTCCATACTTAAAAATATGTCTTTTTTTTGTCCTTATTAAAATGATTTAAGTTTACTTAAAAAAAAACAAAAAAAAACATTGTTTTTAATTTTCAATAATCAAAAATCAAATTTCTCTTTTAAAAAGTTAATTTTGATTTACAGTTTTTTTAAAATTTTTTAAATGTTTTTGATTTTATATTTCTAATGATGTGGAGTTTTGAAAAATTTGAGCAATATAATCTGTTACAAAAATCAGTTTGATGTTTTTATTTACCTTTCATAAATTTGTTTTAAGAGCAGCTCAATAAAGAAAAAACAAATGAACAAAAAAGCCCAAATATACGAGAACATACCAAATGGACATTTGTTTGACAATATTTTAAACTAATTTGAAATATTTCCTTCAATAAATTGTACAATTAATTATCTATCAAATAATTGAAATTTAATTATCTATTAATTAACTGTGCAGTTAATTATCTATTAGTTAATTGTACAGCTAATTATTTATTAATTAATTTTGTTTAATTTTTCAACTAACTTACGATATTTCTTTTTTCTTCTTTAATTCTATTTCTTTCTTGTTTAATATAATCAGCCACGGTTTTTATATGGATAACCGCGGTTTTTGTTTTAAGGTCACCCTGTTTAAGAAATTTAGGTATATGCATCGTGATTTAAATTATTACTTGGATCACTCATTTTAATCTTAAAATGATCTTCATTTTTATTGGTAAAATCATATTTTCACGAATTTATTTCATAATTTTAGGAAATTATGCAAATTCCCAAAATGCTCTAAAAGTTTTAAGGTTTTATTAGGCAATCTACTTTTTATATATTCAAATTAATTTTTATTGAAACATTGAAGGTACATAAAGAAACAATTCTGGTAAAACTACTATACTGTGTGGTAATGATATTTTTAGAAAAAAAAAATTCTAATTTCAGTCAGTAAAACCAAAATATGCAGTATTTACATCGTTTATTTGGTAACTGCTTTATTCATATCGAGCGGTTTACCAAAATTTCTGGCTTACAAAATTTCAGTGATTATTACCTGATATTTAGTAAAGTATACGAAACTAAAAAGTAAATTTAACCAGAAAAATAGTTTATCTCCCATGCTCTGAGGTATCATAATGAAACTATCAAATTTATCCCATTTTTCAAATTTTAACCATATTTTATCCTTTATTCTACCAAAATTATCACAACGCTTCAGTAATTTTTTTTCTTAGTGAAACATGGTAATACGAAAAAAACAAAACAAAATCGGAACATTAGATAATTGAAACTTTTTTCGATACCAACGAAGATTTTTTGAAAAAAACAGTTCTTTATTAGATACTTAAAAAAATAATAAAAATCTCTATGTACTAAAATCAAGAAAAATATATCCTGTCGGAATTTCCTAATAATTGCGATAATCATGAGTTGACTTTTCCGTTTATTTTAAATGTTAGTATTCATTTATCACTTATATTAATTACTACTGTCAAAAACTTTGGAAGATGTTTTAAAATCCACGACGTGTTTCTAACCTGTCTCTCGTATACCGATACATTTCCTAATTTCAGACACGTAAGTATTACAAAGTTGTGTTTGTGCGAAAGCAGAACTCATTTTTAAAATTTCTAAAAGTTTTGTAATTCACTATTTAGAGCAACAGCATTTATTGTGTCAATTTTAATAAATTGAAAATTTAACTAAGAATGTATTTTTGAAATTATTTTGTATTTTTTGTCCGTTGTTAAGACTCAGAGCCTTTTTTGAAAATATTTTTATTCATCTTGTCACTCATTAAAATATCTTCCCAATCTTGTATTTTCATGTCAAATATTGTATAGTTCAGTTTACATAAGTGTAATTTGATTAAGTTAAAAATGTAAATTTCGAATAGTGTCCAACATAAATTAAATCCAAGTAGACAGTAATTATGTATTCCTAGTTTAAATTATTTCAAATATAAAATTAGTTTCTTCTGAAATGCACTTTTTAATCACTTAATTTGCTATGATACCAAAACGGAGGCCAGTTTATTATTTTTGTTGAAGTAGTTGGCACGATAGAAAGTTCTTAAACTTGAAAAGTTGTTAGCTATAAAGTTATTTTAAGATTATCGATTCTCTTGACTGTCTAAATTAAAAAGGTGCAATAATAATGACTTAAATATAAATTTCTTTTGAAAATGTTTTGCATAATGCAGCTGTAATAGTGCCGATATGTATTTCAGGATATGAAAGGAATCATATTTTATAATATGTATCCAATATGAAAGGGATCAGATTTTAAGAGAAACATTTATTTTTTAAAATTTAATAATATTGTAAAATAATATCTATCAATTAAAATCTGTAAATATTCAAATTCTATTAACTCTAAATTTAAAACACTAATTATTTAAAATGCATTTTTATCTCTTTAAACATTTTTTTAAAGTATTTTCTTCGATTTGTTTAATGCCAAATCATTTTTAAATATTTTTTGAGGAATGAAAAAAAAGCATTGCTTTAAAAATTATCGTAAAGTTACATAGTATAAGTTATATAGTATTAGTCAATAAAATAGTTATATAGTATAAGCCGTTGAAAAAGTTGTTTCGTTGTCCTAAAATAAACATTCATATTTTTGACAGAGAAAAAGATTGTTTTTCAGATAAAGATTTATAGTTCCACCGTCCAATCCAATACTATAATTTCTGTAGCATTTTCTTTCAATTTTTTTAAAAAAAATAAAGACTTAAGTCTTGAATTGATAAAACAATCACACTCATAAAATGAAAAAGTACGTTAAGAAAGTAATTTGAATGCGAAAGATTAAGTATTGAAGAGGGACTTCTTGTAGTAAGCACGGAGAAAAAAATCTTTTAAATTACCTTACTGTATAAAAATCGTATTTCTAGTGAAAAATTCATAATTTTAGAAATAAAAACTAAAGTATACGGCATTTAAACCATTCATTTGGTATTTTTTCTGTTCAAATAGCAATGGTTCACCAGAAATTCTCGTTTTCAAAATTATAGTTCTAACTGCCACTCATTCAGTAGAAAATACAAAACTTGAAAGTAAATTTTACTTAATAAATGGTTTTGGTTTTTAACAACTACTTTAGAATATCATGATAAAATTATCGAATTTTACCACGTTAACTAAATTTTATCACACATTAAATGTTTATTGTTAATTTTACTAAAATTATTTCCAAAAGGCTCCATTAAAAATTACCGAGCTTTTTGATGTTTCCATAATGCCAACATAATTCATAACGGGAAATTTCTAAACATTCCGACAGTTTTGACCATGCCTTTTCCTTCAGTGTGGTTAAAAGCTAAGAAAAAAACATATCATTAGGGAACATTATTGAGGGTTACCAACTTTTAAAAATACTAAAATCAAAATTTAAATTTCTGTGCTTAAAAGTTATTGTAGTAGCATACACTGTAGAATATCCCGACACAAGTTGCAATCCTCTATCAAGTTTTAACATACTATTTAAAAACTATTTTACGCAATGAAAGTCTAAAGTAATGGCAAGAAAATGTGTTTCAAATGATAATTATAAATTCTAGCGAGTCACTTTTATGTAGGTTGGTTTACTAATAATTTGAATTGCAAGAATATATAACCACAAGATAAGTTCCTCACTCAAATTGTAATGATTAAAAAGATGATCTCAATAATATAAATTAGTTCTACTTTAGTATCAGACACAGTCGCGTAATTTCTCAGAGTAAAGATAACTTTATTCAATGTATTTATATTTTCGTGTCTTCAAATTGAAGGTTCCATTTAAAGGAAATATTCAGGTGACATTTATATAGTCGTATAATAAATACTTTTTTTTTGTTTTTAAATTAAGCAGCAAGCTTAGATTTATATCCTCTTGAAGTATTTACTGTTTGTTTTGTTCAAAGAGGTAGGCGCATTGAATTACTCCAAGAACTAAACGAATTTTAGGAAAAGGTTATCATTTTGCGAAGTAAATACGTATATGTTTGAAAAGTAACTTTTACTAAAAAATATAAACAAAAGCGAACTAGAAAGTTCCAGTATTTTTTTAAAATTTCCCCGTCTCTATTTGCTCTTTATTCGTACAACTGAATGTGTTGATATGGTATATAAGAAAAAAACTCAATAAACTCTGATTGCGTCTTCAATTTATTTTCGCTTCTAACTATTGAGTTTGTTTAGTTTCCTTTTCCAATTTAGCTTTCTATTACACCGGTTCTAAACAGAAAACCGCAAATGGTGACGTTTTGACGGAATATCGAAAACCTATACTGAGGAGCAACATTTGTTTCTTCCTTTCGATTTTCTGTTCACAGAGCAATTTTTTGAAGTCCTTTTTCGAAATGTTTTTTTTTTCAATTAAGCAAGAAAACAAAAACTTACTTACATAATCATTGATCTAAATTATAAAAACATTAAATACACAATTTAATTTGTTTTATAAATATATTTGATTTGTCAAAATGACGCAATTTTTTCCTGACAAATAAACTTTAAAAAAATCAGGATAGAATTACGATAAAAAGTACCTTCACTCAGGGTGAAGTTATTTTTTTAAACATAAAATCCATTTTTACCGGAACATGTCACGGAACGAAAACTTTGAATATATCGCAATTTTTACAATTATGATTTCCGTAAAATCGCTAGAAACACTCTAATTAAATAAATATTACAATAAAAGTCATTGTATAATATTGATGCATCTTAAGTGCCGGTACTTCATGTTGTAATTTGATCCAGAATTTTTTGCAATGTACTGCAAAAATAGAAAAAAAAATTTTTTTTCAAAGTTTTTTTTAAGCAACTAGTTACTAACACCTCTATCTGCTTTTATTTATCTCATATATCAATTAAAAGCTTTCAAATTAATGTGATTGAGCCAAAATTGATGTCAGTGATTTTATTATGAAGCTTATACCCGCTCCTGCGCACTCAGACTAATTGCAATCAGTAAAAGCTCTGGGCACGTGTGTGGTCGAAGTTATCTCAGATAATTTAGGGAATAAAAACAAATATTTCTTGAAGGATATTTTTATTTACTAATCAGGCAATCATACAACCCATGACGACTAGCGATCAAGTTTTGTGAGAAACTCGGCAAGTCCTTGATTGAAACTTTTTCCATGGCAATGACGGTCTTTGCGTATGGTTGATTATCTTAACGTCAAGTCATTGCTTGAAGGTTGTGAAGTGTTCTGAAGCACGTGCCTGAGTACGCTTCACAACTTTCAACGATTCCCCCAACGAAGTCCCTCAACGACGATGCGACATGCGTGATCGGAATTTTGAACACAGACGAGACAGTTCATTTTATAAGGAACAAACAATAAAATATTATAAAAAGTCACGATCTGAAATCATGGACATTTGGTAACTTTTGGGCTTTACCACTCTTTTCTACCCGTTTGCTGAGTGATTCGAAGATTCCTCAGATACTCTTAAGTCCTGACATGGCTCTTACAGATTTCATTTTGTTCTGGAACTCAAAATCTCTCATTAAAGGACATCGTTTTAGGACAATTTTGAAAGTCAAGTAATCTTGCCCCAAGGACTTAAAGCATCATGTCTCTAAGGGACATGGAAAACTCACTTCTTTTACACCTTCATTGCCTGGAGATCTCACTGGAAGTGAGTTACAGACGTAGGAGGAATCTATCTCAAGACTCTTTAATGTATTGTACTGAATGAATTAATATATTCTTTTTAATTGAGTCAGTGACATTAATTTTAAAACAACACATGAATTTAAAAAATATGATTTTAATGACACGAAAAACAATTTGAGAAGGTATTTTATTTGGTACTAATCAGTCCCATTTCAAAGTTTACTGTAAAAACGATTTCTGTTTAATTTTCAAATACTATATTTAATTTCTAATATAGCCTATTTTAGTAACAAATGTGAAAAGATAGAAAAACAACAAATATTATACATTTTTTATTCACGTTTCTGATTCATAATGAATTTAAGAACTATTACTTATTGATGAACGTTTAGTTTGGCACGTATAAAAACTGAATTACGTCACATATACTTTAATTTTCAAATCCTAAGTCACTGTTAACTCCTGTGCATAGAATTTTCCTGAAATGTATCTTTCATACTTTTTTCGGTATTTTGTATTAATTTAGGTCAAAATAAGAGAAAAATATTATATTTAGAATCTTAATAATTTATAGTTATGGAATGCAGTGTGAAACACTCGTGTATGTTTCTTTTTTAAAGGAACAATTTTTCAATCATGACTCACTTCCAAACAATAATTTTACAAATTTGCACTTATTTGCAGTTATTTAGATCTAACAGAAACAGTTATTTTTCATTGAAATTTATTTAATATATAAATCCAATTATTGATAAATTCTTGAATATGAATGGAACTTTTTTTTCAAACAACTTTTTTGGATTTTACATTTTAGAGCAAATGTAATTGCGATAGTCTAACAGATTGTTTAGTAAATATTAGTCTGTTTTTTGTAATTAAAACATACCAAAATATATTTTTAATCGTAGTTAGAGAACCAGGAAGAAATTTTTTTTCCATATTACAAAAAGGATGTCCCATACAGAAAATCTACCACCAGAGTGTTAATTATGTTTTATACATTTGTATCAAAATTTATGTATATGCATTCTATCTGAAAGTTCTAAAAAGTTATGTGTAATCGAGATACTGAAAATGTGAAAAAGATTTTAAAATGTAAAGATTTCAGAAAAAAATTACATTTGTATTTATAAAACTATTAGGTGAATATAAATTGGTTACTTAATATAAATTGAATATTCAACTTGAATTGAATATTTAATATGAAGTGGGTATTTAATATAAATTGAATAAATTTAAAATTTTTCTTTCTTCAAGATATTGTTAAAAGCTGTTCTCGATTCGGATTTCTGCCTGAAGCAACGTTTTTATCATAATTCATAATGTATCCTTCGTTCTACTAATGTTAAAAAGTTCTGCAATTTTAATAGAATACTTTAAAATAGTTTTACGTTAAATAATTTATACCGAAAATACATATTCTGCGAGTTTATGATTTATTTGTAAAACTATTGATACTGATTTTCAAACATGATGACCATTCTGTAAGAAAATTCAAAATCTTTTCTGTAAAAGAAAAATATTAGAATATATGTCTGAAAAAAAATTGGAAATAAAACGAAATATCTGAAAATTGTAGATGTAATGTCAAACTAATTAGCAAGTTTCCAGATATAGTAAAACGGAGTGAGTTAAGCGTTAACAACTTGTCAATTATAATAGCGAAAAAGTTTCTTTTTTACAGAAGTTTTGATTTTCTTTGGAGTTATATATTATCTTCCTATCATTTTTGGATCATTTTCAACTTTTTCACCCTTGGGGGTAAAAGGAAAGACTTTTTACAACAACTTCCAATTTTTTGTGGCAACTACACTAAGCTCAAAAATCCAACGAATACTTTAAAAAAGTATTTGTTTTTAAATGATGATATATTTTTCCTTTGAATATATCCCTTTCTTATTTAAGGCAAAAATATATTTACTACGCACATAGCACTTAATTTAAATACATTCAAGTATCAAATAAACTTAATTTATTTGTAGAAATATTTGTATCTTAAAATGTGTCCGAAAATCGTTAATTACTGAAACTTAATTTTTATTATGTTTGAATTTTAATTTTGTCTTTAGTTAAGTTTGATTAAAAGTACTTTTTTCATTACATTTGACTTTGCACTAAAAATATGAGAATTTATTACCGTTCAGTGTTTACTTAGTTTAAACCTTTAAAGTAACCATAAAATATACTGATTAAATAAGTTGTAAGAGTTTGAAAATCGATCTACAACTCATCAGCAGACACCCTAGAGACAAGTTAGAATGTTATTTAACTAAGTTAAAATGTTATCTAACTTAGTTAAAATGTTGTTAGTTAAATATATTATATAAGTTAAGATGCCAAAGTAAAAGTAATATTTATTTCAATAAAGAATTTATAATAAAAATAAATGGAAAATATTTGCACACACTTGAAACATTCATTTTTAAACGTTTTAAAATAGTTTAGTGATGTGTTATATTTTTTTTACAGGAATCCGTCTCAACTCAAAAAAACTTTAAAAATATTTTTATTCAGATGACAACCTAAACAATCAACGAGAGTTGAATTCGATGATTGAAACTTTTCAATCATCAAATAAAAAAAAAGGAGTAAAACTATGAGTTTTATGCATTGATGCTTTATGTACGAACGTGATGGTTTGTATGTAGCTACCAACACAGATATTACTTATGTTGATTAGAATAAAATTAACAAAAGTATTTAAAACCTACCG